GCATCATAGGAGCCTCTCTGCTCCTATGATGCTGCTTGGCCTGCTGTGTTCATCCAGCCTTGCACCTTGTTGTCTCTGAGTAAAGACCAAGTTCTGTTTATTTTGCTGTCTACCATTTTGATCAACGTAATACAACAGCAACAGAGTTGTTGCTGATTTGTAACAATTGATCATTATTAATGATTCTACAGCAGATCCTGCCAGGAGGTGACAGTCCAAAAGGTAGCTCCTCCCAAATGTGATGCGCTTGCCACATTTTCTCAAATTATTCATACTGCATCCCAGAGTCATATTTTAAACAAGAGGTTTATCACCTTACAATTTAATGAATCCATCCTTTATGCTTCTATTGCATACTGAGGTAATCGATTCTATGGGCTGACCACTTGGTCTCTGGAAATAGATCAGTTTTTAATTTCAAGCACAGTTGTCTCCTCTGGTTCTGCAGTTCTGAGCAAGGCAAAATAAATAGCTGTCCTGGTGTGATCTTGTCCCTTTACCATCCACAAATGAGCAATTATACCACTTCTTGACGATCTGTCTTTGTAAACTCAGAACGATTTAGTGCAGAAAGTGGCTATTTGGCTCGTTGGGCTTTTGTGGACTCTTTGAAAGGGTTATCCAGATAATCTCACTCCCCTACTTGTTCTCCAAAGCTCTTCAAAAAGCTTCTCTCCAAATAGTAATCCACTTTCCCGCTTCTCATTTCTGTTCCCTCCTTGGATTGTCCTGCCATCTCCGAAGACTTGTGTATGCAGCTTCATGATCTCACTCTGTTGCACACTCTGTAAACTGTACTATTTAATTCAGATTTCTTACCCCAGCCTACCAAAATGAATAACTTCACACTTGTCTGCATTCAGTTTGGTTGCTTTGGGACTGTCTATTAATCATCCTGACTGCTGCTATCTTCCTTATTATCTATGACATTATACCAAACATGAGAGGTATATATGTGCACCAGAAAGCATTCTGCCCCAGGGCACCACTGCATATTTCCTTCCAATTTAACAACTGTTCATGACTATTCTCTGCTTTCGTCCCTTGGTTTTTGCGGTGTGAAAATGCCTATGTTACAGAATTGTTCATCATAAGCAGAAGAGGTTAGGGGGAGACCTATCAAAATAAAGCAGTTGGGAAGCTAAAGAGGAATTGTCAAGGAACGTAAGGCTAAACTCTTATCCAGGAACATCAATAAACCAAGAGCTCTATATTTGAATTCCTTGCATGTTCATATGACTGTCTAAATGCCTGTTAAACCTGGCTGACATGTCTGCTTCTACCACCTCCCTTGGCAGCACATTCAAGGCACAAGTGTTTTTTAGAAAAAATACAAAACTTTCCTTGCACATCCCTTCCTTAAAACTTGCCCCCTCTCCTGTTAAACCTATGCCCCCTTGTATTTGGCACTTCCACCCTGAGAAAGAGACTCTGACTATTTGTTTTATGCATGCCTGTCAATTTTATATACTTAGAGACATGGGCCAAATGCTGGCAGATGGGACGAGATATTTGGTCAGTGTAGAGTTATCATAGAGTTATACAACACGGATGCAGATCCTTCGGTCCAACTCCGCCATGCTGACCAGACAACCCAATCTGACCTAGTCCCATTTGCCAGCATTTGGCTCATATCTGACTAAGCTCTTCCAATTCATATATCCATCTTGGTGCCTTTTAAATGTTGTAATTGCACTTTCATATTCCATATATGTATCACCCTCTGCGTGAAAAAGTTAACCTGAGGTCCTTTTTAAATCTTTTCCCCTTACCTTAAACCTATGCCCTCTAGAATCATAGAACCCCTACAGTGCAGAAGGAGGCCATTCACCCCAAAGAATCATACTGACCCTCTGAAGACCATCCCACCCAGACCCAGCACCTCCACCATATCCGATAACTCCACATTTCTCATGGCTAATTCACCTAGCGTACCCATCCCTGAACACTATGGGCAATTTCAGCATGGCTAATCCTTCTAACCTGCACAACCTTTAACTGTTGGAGGAAACCAGAGTACCTGGAGGAAACCCATGCAGACACAGGGAGAGCATGCAAACTCCACACAGTTACCTGAGGTTGGAATCGAACCTGGCTCCCTGGTGCTGTGAAGCAGCAGTGCTAACCACTGAGCGACGTGCTACCCCTAGTTTTCACCTCACCCTAGGAAGAAGACTTTGGCTATTCACCCTATTCATGCCCTTCGTGATTTTATAACCCGCTACAAAACATTTCCTGTCAGCCTCCAATGCTCTGTGCAAAAAAAGCTCCTGTAATCAGCCTCTCCCTATAACTCTAGTCCTGCAGTCCCAGCAACATCCTTGTAAATCTCTTCTGCACACTTTCATGTTTAACAACATCCTTCCTATAGAAAGGCGACCAGAATTGTATGCAGTATTCTAAAAGTGGCCTCACCAATGTCCTGTACAGCTGCGCCATGACACGTTCTATGCTCAATGTTCTGACCAATGAAGGCAAGTGAGCCAAATGCCACCTTCACTCCCCTGTGTGCCTGCGACTCCACTTCCAAGGAGCTATGCACCTGCACTCCTAAGTCTCTTTGTTTGGCGAAACTCTCCAGGGCCCTACCGTTAACTGTATAAGTCCTGCCCTGGCTTATCTTATCAAAATGTTGTGAACCTAGGCGAGCACAGTCACCCTGAACAGTTCCTGATGCTTGTGCCAAACATAGAATATGGGGGAAACAGGCACCCCACTTTTTGGCATAGATATGGGGTTTCTGTCAGCTAGGGTGGTGTGTGGGGAAAATCCTCCTGTTCCTCCAGGACCAGCAGTGAAGACTGTGACACCAGACCATGCTAACTTGGTTCAAGGTTGCCACCTATGTTAGAGCAGTCTAAATCCTCTGGAGGAATGCCCAATACTGTAAGAAGAAGGTCAGTGACCTCCCCCACTCCGTCAGCGTAAATACCACTGCCTTCTCTCTGTGTCACACTTACTTTATCTCTTCCACTGGCCCCACCAAGGTTCATGCTCTACCACTCACTAATGCATGTAGGGTATTCCCCACACCCCTTCACCTACCACAGCTTGCAACATGACTAACCCTACATGCTCTCTGCATAGTCTAATCACCTGCTCCAACAGTAATAACTGTGCTGCCAACTTTAATCTTCAGTAATACCTGCCTGTCATTCCAGGAGAAAACTACCCACTTGAGCAGAAAGAATCCAGATGGGTGGTTTGCTTCCCATTGTTGGAATCCTCACTGCTTAGGAGAGTGATCCTGACTAACTACCTGAGTAGGGCCTGGACTGATGTTGGAGGCTGTCCTTGATTCAGTGTGTCAACAAAGCCTTAGCCCCCTTGACAGGACTGAAGCTATTGCAAGCTTCCTGGCTTTGTGTCTGTGCTAAATGGCAAGGCAAGGCAAGAAAGACAGTAGTCTTAATATAAGCCTAGCATTTCTCACTGAGGGGGCAAAGTACAAAAAAAAGCAAATCAATCCAAGGCAGGAATGCTGCAAGTATCTGGGTAGGCTCAGTGAGTACTTTACCAGCAAGTGAAGAGCCCAGAGGTGTAGCTTATTCTAGTCCATGAACTTGGGTACGTGTTCCTGAGTGCACAGTGTCTTTGCTGCAGCATTGCAATGACAGTTGCTGGTGGGGCCCATGGCGTAATATTGACCTGCAGTAGCATCCCGTATGTGGATTAGGAGATGTGCAATGAGGATTCATAGAGGCTGGCACATGTTGGTTGCCAATATGTGGCTTGCTTGTGGTCAGTGCTCAAGAATGTGCCTGGTGTCCAACATGGAGGTCTTCAGGAGCAAATGTGAGGTGAACCCACCAAGATCCTGCTTTGGTTTCCAGGTTGAGCTTCCCTGAGGCTATTTTTAATGGTGAGTTGGTAAGATCACAACTGATGGCGAATTGGACTGTTAACAAGGCTTTCGGTCATGAAAGCCACAATATAAATGCAAATTCTTTCCATTTCTAGTCTATTAAAAGTAAGTATACATATTGGAAATCTGTATAACTGATGCAGCTACTTTTGGAAGAGACCGTGTATACACTGCTGTACATGAGGGTGCATTTTATCTTGGTTGCAGAGAACTTGCAAGAGTAGATGATCAAGACGGGGTGCTGTTCATCATAGAATCATAGAATCCCTACAGTGCGGAAACAGGACATTTGGCTCAATAAGTCCACACCGACCTTCCAAAGAGCATCCCATCCAGACCTATCCCCATACTCTGTCCTTGTAATCCTGCATTTGCCATGGCTAATCCACCTAATTTACGCCCCTGCACGCAATGGACAATTTAGCATGGCCAATCTACCAAATCTGCACATCTTTGAATTGTGGGCGGA